AGCCGCATTGCTGTTGCTGGAGAGCGCTGACTTTTTCCTGTGGACAATTGGATTTTAAACAACTACCCGTGAGTAGAACGGAAAATTGGACTTTTAAATACCTTAATTTGGCACTGAAGTGGGACGGTCATAAACATGAAGTCCGCCTTCCGTTTTTGTAAATAGACTGAAGCAAAGACGTTACAAGTTAAAGCCTTTGAAAGCTTTTGGCAAAGGATTAAATTTCCATCGGTTTAAAATACAAAACCCCCCTTGGAAGCAGGAGAAGAGGGGGAAATTTTGGACCTAGTGAGCCTCCAGGAGAGAGTGAAAAATCAAATTACCACTGCTCTGAACCTGGGAACGGGCTGCTAGATGACGTTTGGAGAGAGTGCATTGACAGAACGGATTTGACAGCTAGCTAAATAAGAGTAAGATACTGTTTCCATTGTCCTCCTCTGCGTTTAAAAAAGAGGAAAAGTAACTGAAAATTGAAACTATCTTTAATGCTTGAGTTGTGCCTGAAATAACTGATACAAGTGGAGACTATTTCCCTCTAGAGGGAGCTGTTGAAACTGTTACAGGAGTGTAACTGGGGGATTTCCAGCTGCAGATAAGGATTCTGAGAACCAGAGATTGACCTTGGACCATTTAAAAATGTTGACAGAAGAGGCCATTGTGACTGTTTTATGTAAGATAAGCTGTTCACTGGGACAGCTTCACAAGAAGATGGATGACATGACTTTTAAAGTTGATAATTTGGAACAGAAAGTGACTAATTTGAGTCAAAAAGCGAACACCAACACAGAAATAATTCAGGACTTGGTACAGGAATCCATTTTGGCAGGACAAATGGTGGAGGAGGAGGAGAAAGCTGCTGTTGTTGAACATAAAGTAATACAAACGGGATCCGTGGCTTTACAGAAGCAAATTGAGGACTATAAGTTGAGGCCTTTTATGATTGAATCTAGGAAAAGTCAGACTTTGAGGAATGGATCCCAGCTGGGATTAAAGAAGGAAAGTTGGAAAGATCCCTCTATGCAGGGATTAACTGACTTTTGGGACATGGACTCGGGCCTGGAGGAGATTGAAGTTTTGGGGGCCTTTGGATTTGGAGGAATCTTGAAATATGCCCTGAAATACTTTATGGACTGTAGCCTCAACTATGGAAATTTGGCTGATCTGTTCAGAAGGAAGAAAAGGATTGACAGGTTGGAGTTTCCCCGAGATTTGCTCTTTAGCATTAAATAAAATGAAGAAGACCTGCAGAAGGGACTTGGAAAAGAGTTAAGAGCCTCGGACATAAGATCACCAGGTTGATGGACTTTATGGAGTTGACGGAAAGGACTGGCAGAATCCGAAACCAGGGAGAGGAGATGGTGGAAGAAGATTGGAAAATTTAAAGTTTATATATAGACATATGGTAAAACTAATGAGTGATAGAAAAATGGTGGAATGATTTTTATGGGCTTAGCAGAAATGTTATAAGGAGTTAAACATATATAAGTATTTTAGTTTTAATGGAAAATAAGGTTAAAAATACGTTATTTACAATATGATAGAAAATGGAGAAAGATGGAAAGGATTTGCTGAAACAATTAATAGAAGTGGAATACAAAAAGGGAGGTGAGAGGAGGTCGAGGAAACAAGGGAATGAAAGATAGAGTACGGAAAAGGGATGATGTATGTTTTTAAATTGTTTTTGTTTTGTTTTATTTAGGGTTAAGGTTAGGTAGTGGGGTTTGTTTAGTTTAGCTTAATGTGTTTAGTTTTGAGTTTAGGTTGTGTTTTGCGTTGTTTATATACTGTACTGTATTGGGTTTTTCCCCCCTTTTTGCTTTCCTCCTTTGTCTTTTTTTCTGTTTTTCTCTTCCCTTTTTGTAATCTATAAAAGTAATAAATATTATTTAAAAATAAATAAATAAAAGGACGGATACAAATAGAAATTGTTTCCTCTAGAGGGAGCTTTTGAAACTGTTGCAGGAGCGGAGCTGGGGAATTTTCCAGCTGCAGAGATTAAAGTGTGAGAACTAGAGTTTGACCTTGGACAAGAATGTCAACAGAAGAAGCCTTAGTGATTGCATTTTGCAAGATAAGCGTTTTATTGGAACAGCTTCATGAGAAGATGGATGTGATGATTATTAAAATTGACAATTTGGGACAAAAAATGACTGATTTGGGACAAGAAGTGAATATCTATACAGAAACTACTCAGGAATCGATTCAGGAATCCACTTCGACATGGCAAGTTGTGGAGAAGACGAGGGAGAAAGTTGTTGTAGAACCTCAAGTAATACAAGTGGAGAGAGCCCCAGTCTTACAGAGACAATTTGATGAATATAAGCTGTTGCCTTCTATGATTGAATTCAGAGAAAGCCAGTTGAAACACGTCCTGAAATATCTTTTGGACTCTAGTTTTGACTATGGAGAAGACATTGTTAGGTTGGAGCTTCCCCGAGATCTACTCCTCAGGGTCAAAGGAAGGAAATTAAGAATAAGATCAACAGAAGATAAAGTGAAGTGCATGTATAAATATGAAGAAGATCTGCAGAAGGGACATGGAAAAGAGTTAAGAGCCTCGGACAGAAGATCACCAGGTTGATGGACCATATGGAATTGATAGAAAGGACTGGCAGAATCCGAGACCAGGGAGAAGAGACGGTGGAAGAAGATTGGAAAAAAGTTTAAAATTTATTTATAGAAACATTGTAAAATTAATGAGTGTTAGAAAAATGTTGGAATGAAATTACAAGGCTTTTTTTTTTTAACTGATATTTATTAAAGTTTCAAATACAAAAACAGAAAATAAAAATACAAGAAAATACAAAATACAGAAAAAAGAATAAAATTTTTAAAATATAACAAAAAGAAGAAAAATAAAGAAAAACATACAAGATAAAAACAGTTAAAAACACGTTAACTTTCCATAGCATATCTTCCTTACCCTTATTTCCCCAGACCTCCTCATACCTCCCTTTTTTGCATTCCAGTTCAGTTTGTTAGTTCAGCAAATCCTTACCATTAAGCTTTTACCCATTTGTAAATCTTTTTTCGTATCTCTTAAAGCATTACAGCTGGAAACCACTTAGTTTCTATCCAACAACCTTCTAAGATTCATTAATTTTACAATATTTCTGTAAATAGTCTTTAAATTTCTTCCAGTCTTCTTTCACCGACTCTTCTCCCTGGTCTCGGATTCTGCCAGTCATTTCTGCCAATTCCATGTAGTCAATCACCTTCATCTGCCATTCTTCCAGAGTGGGTAGATCTTGTGTCTTCCAATACTTTGCAATGAGTATTCTTGCTGCTGTTGTAGCATACATAAAAAAGTTCTGTCCTTCTTTGGCACCAATTGGCCGACAATGCCCAGAAGAAAGGCCTCTGGTTTCTTCAAGAAGGTATACTTAAATCCCTTTTTCAGTTCATTATATATCATTTCCCAGAAAGCCTTAATCTTTGGGCACGTCCACCAAAGGTGAAAGAATGTACCTTCAGTTTCTTTACATTTCCAGCATTTATTATTGGGCAAATGATAGATTTTTGCAAGCTTGACTGGGGTCATGTACCACCTGTATATCATTTTCATAATATTCTCTCTTAAGGCATTACATGCCGTGAACTTCATACCTGTGGTCCATAACTGTTCCCAGTCAGCAAACATAATATTATGTCCAACATCTTGTGCCTATTTAATCATAGCAGATTTCACCATTTCATCCTGAGTATTCCATTTCAACAGCAAGTTATACATTCTTGACAGATTCTTAGTTTTGGGTTCTAGCAGTTCTGTTTCTAATTTTGACTTTTCCACCTGGAAGCCAATTTTCTTATCCAAATTATATGCCTCCATTATCTGATAGTAATGAAGCCAATCTCTCACTTTGTTTTTTAGTTTTTTGAAACTCTGCAATCTCAACTTGTCTCCTTCTTATTCCAAAATTTCCCAATATGTCGGCCATTTGGCCTCCATATTGAGCCTTTTCAGAGCTTTTGCTTCCATTGGTGACAGCCACCTTGGGGTTTTATTTTCCAGTAAATCTTTATATCTTATCCAGACATTGAACAATGCTTTCCTGACAATATGATTTTTGAATGCTTTGTGTGCTTTAACCTTATCATACCATAAATATGCATGGCTTTAGTAGAAATGTTATAAGGAGTTAAGTACAAATAAGTTTCAGGGTATTAATGGTAAGATAAGGTTAAAATAAATTATGACAATTATATGACAGAAAATAGTGAAAGATGGAAAGGATTTGCTGAAATAATTAATAATTAGAACACAAAAAAGGGAGGTGTGAGGAGGTCGATGAAACAAGTTAATGAAAGACAAAGATATGGAAATATTGGATGTGTTTTTAATTGTTTTTGCTTTTGCTTTTGTTCTGATGTATTGTGTCTTTTGTTGTTTCTTTTTTATGTATAGTAATGTATTGATTTGTATTGTTTATTTTCTCTCTCTTTCTTTCCTTTTTCTGTAATCTTTAAACTTTTAATAAATATTATTTTTTTAAAAAAGTCCTTTTAAGACCTACAACTGTATTTTTTTAGAGAACTTTAAAAATGAGACTTTCATAAATCCCTCCGATCACACTCTTGGCATTGATATGATTCCTCCCCTGTATGTATTCTTTGATGAAATGAGATTTCCTTTTCGACTGAAGCTCTTTCCACATTCCTATCACTGATATGATTCCTCCCCTGTATGTATTCTTTGATGAAATGAGATTTCCTTTTCGACTGAAGCTCTTTCCACATTCCTATCACTGATATGATTCCTCGACTGTGTGTAATTTTTGATGGGCAGTGAGACCTACTTTCCTGGTGAAGCTCTTTCCACATTCCAGGCACTGAAAGTGTTTCTCCCCTGTATGAATTCTTTGATGGGAAGTGAGTGTGGTGCTGTTAATGAATCTCTTTCCACATTCCAGGCACTGAAAGGGCTTTTCTCCTGTATGAATTATTTGATGGGAAGTTAAACTGCTCTTTTGACTGAAGCTCTTTCCACATTTCACGCACTGTTAGGGTTTCTCCCCTGTATGAATTCTACAATGGGAAGTGAGAGTATAGCTGTGACTGAAGCTCTTTCCACATTCCAGGCACTGATAGGGTTTCTCTTTTGTATGAATTCTTTGATGGGAAGTGAAACTGTGCTTCCTAACGAAGCTCTTTCCACATTCCAAGCACTGATACGGTTTCTCCCCTTTATGATTTCTTTGATGAACAGTTAGACTTTCTTTCCTGGTGAAGCTCTTTCCACATTCCAGGCACTGATAGGGGTTTTCCCCTGTATGAATCCTTTGATGGGAAGTGAGATTGCGGCTGTTACGGAAGCTCTTTTCACATTCCACACACTGATAGGGTTTCTCCCCTGTATGAATTCTTTGATGGGAAGTGAAACTACTTTTTTGACTGAAGCTCTTTCCACATTCCAAGCACTGATACGGTTTCTCCCCTTTATGATTTCTTTGATGAACAGTTAGACTTTCTTTCCTGGTGAAGCTCTTTCCACATTCCACACACTGATAGGGTTTGTCCCCTGTATGAATCCTTTGATGGGAAGTGAGATTGGCACTCCGAGTGAAGCTCTTTCCACATTCCAAGCACTGATAGGGTTTGTCCCCTGTATGAATCCTTTGATGGGAAGCGAGCTTGCCCCTCTGATTGAAGCTCTTTCCACATTCCAAGCACTGATACGGTTTCTCCCCTGTATGAATCGTTTGATGGGAAGTGAGCTTAGCCCTCTGATTGAAGCTCTTTCCGCATTCCAAGCACTGAAAGGGTTTCTCCCCTGTATGAATTCTTTGATGTGCAGTGAGATGGGAGCCGTGATTGAAGCTCTTTCCACATTCCACGCAGTGATATGGTTTCTCTCCTGTATGAATTCTACGATGGGTAGTGAGATTGTGGCTGTGACTGAAGCTCTTTCCACACTCCAAGCAGTGATAGGGTTTCTCTTTTGTATGAATTCTTTGATGGGTAGCGAAACTCTGTTTCCAGGTGAAGCTTTTTCCACATTCCAAGCACTGATAGGGTTTCTTCTCAAGCGGATTTCTTTGATGGGAAGTGGCATGGGAGCTCTGACTGACGCCCTCTCCACAGTCTGAATCCTGATATGGCTCCTCCACTGTGTGAATTTTGTTGTAGTCTCCCTTGTTCTTCATTTCCAATTCATCCCTACCTGAAACTAAGAGGCAAACGGATTAGAGTCTCGGGAAGAAGTGCAGTCCCAAATTACAGAACACTGCTAATTAATGCTTGGGACAGGGGAAGAACTGAAGGGAGTTAGATATTATAACATTCCTTTTGTTCTGTAAAAATGTCTAGTTTCATATACAAATCAAGTTGAATATTAGATGTTTTCTCTCTCAGGTTTTTAAAAGTACAGCTTAACCTGGTAACGTCATTTTGCTCAAATTTAAATATGCATCTGTACTATCTTCATAAATAAAATGTGCTTTTATTGAAAAAGGTGGCCAATGCGGGAAAGTTCCCTGTTAAAATTAAGATATATTCAATATGCTAAGTTGTTCAGTATGCAGTAATAAATCTAAACAAATTTTAAGAGCTGGAGAAATATTTGGGAACATTGACTCTGGACTGACTTGGTCATAGTCAGCTGCCTTGTGTTGGGCGATGTAAGAGCAGGGGAATAAAAATGGCAAACGTGAACTTCTTGTCATGTGACAAAGACACATGAGAGCAGAAGCAGCAAAGCAGGCTGGGAAGTGCTGGGACTGCACAATCATTTGGGCCTACTAAAGTTATTCAGGCCTAACTGCTAACTGTTGAGTCACTCTGACATGTGACTTAGCAGCCAGTTTCTCTGTGTGGTCTCTGAAAGATTTCAGTCAGAGTCACTCTGCCTCAGTTGTGAGCAGAGTCAGTATGGAATCTCAGTCAACCTGTTTGGAACCATGTTGTTTATGAAGAAGTTTATTTTAACTCAGTAAAGCTCTTATTCTTTAAAACTCTGCATTATTTATTTACGCTGCGCGTCACTTCTATGCGCTGAAAAACACTTTTTGTATATTGAACAAATGTGTGTAGCAGCTGCCAAATTTAAATTTCTTTAGTGGCTAAACATTTAATGATGATGTGCATCACCTTAAACCAATTTGAATGTTTTCTTAAATTCACGACATCACAGAGTGCAGCAGAAACTTCTTATATCAGCATTATTATCATTATTCAAGTTTCGTTACAGTGGCACCTCGGTTTACATAAGCTTCAGGATACAGACTCCGCTAACCGAGAAATAGTACCTCGGGTTAAGAACTTTGCTTCAGGATGAGAACAGAAGTCATGCAGCAACAGCGCAGCAGCAGCAGCAGGAGGCCCCATTAGCTAAAGTGGTGTTTCAGGTTAAGAACAGTTATACGTTAAGAGCAGACCTAAGGAACGAATTAAGTTCTTAACCTGAAGTACCACTGTACTTAAATGTTACATTTTTGTGAGAAGTTACAGGGGACGAGGCAGGGGGCCTTCTCGATAGGGGAACCCACCCTGTGGAACGCCCTCCCCTCAGATGTCAAGGAAATAACTATGCAACTTTTAGAGGACTTCTGAAGGCACCTCGGTATCGGGAAGTTTTTAATGTTTGATGTTTGATTATGTTTTTCTATTTGTTGGCTGGGGCCACCCAGTCAGATGGGCAGGGTAAAAATAATAAAATTATCATTATTGTTACTACAGGGTTCACTGCCTGAGATTCAAAAAGCCTGTCTCTGTTTTGGGATGGAGTTTGTTTGGTTCAGTCGTGGAATCTGTGCCATCTCCAATGTCAAGCGACTCTTTGGTCAACCAGAGAGAGACAGAAGCAAAACCAAAAGCAAGAAACTTGCCTGAAGTTACTTCAACACCCCAAATCACTCTGAATCCTACATTTAAGAAGGCCTGGGCAGTTCAGACAGCCTGATCATGGTTTTAAACGACAGAACTGGAGGAAGAATATTCACAGGGAAAACAATCAATAGCCATCCCTCCAAGGTTTGCTGTGGGAGTGTTAACATCCCAGGTGCTGTGGGTGGCGCTGTTGAGCCCCATTGAAATATCAGAGGTTTGTCACATAGAGAGATGTCTTGAATTACAAAACAGAAAGGATGATCCAATAGGGAGCCTTACCGAGAGAGTCCAAGATCCCACGATTCTCCTCCATGACTTCCTTATGGAGAGCTCTCTGGTCAGGATCCAGCAACGCCCACTCCTCGTCTGTGAAATGGACAGCCACATCTTCAAAGCACACTGGACCCTAACAGAACAGGAAAAAGGCTGTCCTCTTAGAGAACATTCACTTGGCTCTGTTGTTTTCTACAGCGGCCAGACCCCTCTCTGCCTTCCTCATCCCTCTCTCCTGCTGCAGCTTCTGCCTCGGAGTCTGGGCTGCTCTCTGCCACAGACTCCCTCTGCTCCCTGAGCCCTCTTCCCTCTCCAGCTTCAGACCCCTCCTCCTCCTCCTCCCAGTCGGCTCCCTCTTCTCTGGCTCCTCCCACCATTCCTCTGCATCCAACTGTGTCCAGCCAGTCTGCATCCAAGCAGTCCTTCCCCACAAGGCTCCTTCCCCTACCTGATCTGGGTCCACAGCTGCTGCCTCCTCCACCACCATGAAAAGATGAAGGAGCAGGTCTTGGTGGCATCATTCCGTCACCTGGGAGAGACCAAGGAAAGTGGAAACCGTGAGCGCCTGCTTCTCTCAGAGGTGAAACAGTGCATCTCTAAGTACAGATGGGGCTTGTCCAAGTCTCCCCTGCTAGCTTCCGGTTCCGCTCTGCTTTAATGGAGGCAGCGGGAGATCGTTGGCAAAGGAAAAACAAGGATGACTGAGGGTAATTCTCCTTGCAAGTTCCCCCAGGGACAGGGGGGAACGGGCTTCACTCCCAGTTTGTCTCGGTACCAGGTTCCGGCTCCGGCATGGATTGCGAGAGGCAGGGAGGCGCTGAGTGCAAAAGCCCTTCGCCTGCCGAAAACCCTCCTTCGCTGCCATTAAGAACCAGAGGTTCTCCTGTCAATTAGAGCTCAATTTGGACTAATGTACAGGCGTTGCTGGAAGAGATGAGATCATAAACTGTGGAATTGAACCAGCTGCAAGGTCTTTAAGGTTTGAATTTGAGAATAAACTTCATTTGCTGCAAAAGACAGTGAGTGGGGGGAGGGGAGCCTATGGCTTCTTTATATAAAGTTTTCTTCTCTACATTAATGAATTGGTAGCCTGCGATTGAATACTAGTTGAAAATATCTATGTACAGGTGAGCAGGGATGAAACTGGACTGCAGATATGGAATATAACATCAAATGGAACTGTGCGTGGGGAAAAAAAGGAAAAAGGGAGGGAAGCTCTATTTTGCAAAATGTTTGCGATGGAAAATTAGAGGTGACTCTTCCCCATCCTGTATTATATACAGACTGAACTGATTAATGCTAAAAGGACATGGAATTTAATCTAATTGGATAAATGTGAGGGAGCTGATAAGGTTCATTACTGAGTCATTTGCAATTCTGACAGATCCCTCTCTTTCCCAGGTGTAGAAGAAAAATGGCAAAAACTGATTATTTATTGGGATAGTGTGATTTTTGCAGCTGCTGTTAAAGTTGCCAAACAACGAAGCACAGGACAGAGCGATGGAGAATTTCTGAAACCACAATGGGATATTAGCTCCGTCCAAGGAATGATGGAGAACAGCAACAACCAGGAAAAGATAGACAGAACATTTTACAAGGACAGGAAGAAATATCACGAACAGAAAGATTGCCACACACGGGAAGAATAAGGATATCACTGGAGTGCCTCACTTGTAGTTTTATATATTATTTGATGTTTCCATACGAATGGAAGTCATTAATACTGCAGTTGTTGTATAAAGGATTGTTATTTTGACAGGAGTGTAATTGAAATTAATAAGATTTTGGAATGGAGAAATCAAGAAAATCATCAAACCATCGGTTTTAGCATGCGGGGGGCCACCTATATTATATAATTTTGTATAAGATTGGTATTAGTAATTGTATTGTAATTTCGCATTGTTATAAGGAGGCTATTATTGGACTGTAATTGTAAACTAATCAAATTACTATCATAAACGTCTCCCCTGCTGAGTACATTTGTACATTTGTACCCATGTCATATAATCGTTGTGCAAAAATACATCTCTCCCCCCCTGAGCTCTGGGCTCCAGGTGTCTTCCCCCAAAAGATGCAAAGAAATCACAGATTAGTTTCAAAACCAAGAGAATGTGACAAAACGGGGGAGAAAACACTCCTTCCTCCTTACCCAGAGGCCTCACTCTGGCGTCCAGCGGAGTCTTCTCTGCCTCAGAAGAATCAAGACCCCTTTCTGCCAAAAGATCCTTCCTCTGAAAGAGCAACAAGGATTCAAAACAGAGAATGGGGAGAAGGGTTAGAGAAGGAATGGCAGAGGCAAGCGCTTTCGGGGACAGAGGTGAAAGCTGCTTCCTGCTTCTGCTAGACTGGTGTCTGGGGTTGGCTGCCAGGACCATGAAACATTGGTCCTCAAGGATCTTCACTGGCTCCCAGAACGTTTCCCAGCACAATTCAAAGTGTTGGCCTCAAAGGCCCAGTATACCCAAAGGAGCGTCTCCATGAACTGAGGTCCAGTTCCGAGGGTCTTCTGCTGTTCCCTCACTGTGATAAGTGAAGTTACAGGGAACCAGGCAGAAGACCTTCTCCACAGTGGGACCCACCCTGGGGAATGCCCTCCCATCAGGTGATAAGGAGATAAGAAAATGCCTAACTTTTAGAAGACATCTGATGTCTTCTTATGCTTTTATATGTGCTGGAAGGCACCCAGCCACATGGGTGTCATAAATAATAATAATAATATGCTTTCCAAAAAAGGATGGGCCATTAGGAATTGATTTGGGAATACTCTCCCTCCTCTTTGGAGCCCCTTGGGAGTATCCAGAGGAAAGTCTCTCTCACCTGCTGCTCTGCCTGCTTCCTCTCCTCTGCCTGACTCAGGAGGAAACCTTCGGCCAGGGCCACCGCCTGGGAACTGGTCTCCGCTCCGCATTCCCTCACCCAGCTCTCCATCTCCAGAGGAAGGACAGCCAGGAACTGCTCCAAGATCACCAGGTCCAACATCTGAGCTTTCGTGTGCCTTTCTGGCTTCAGCCACTGATGGTCAAGGTGGTAGAATTGGCTGCAAACCTCTCGGGGTCCTTCAGTCTCCCGGTAGCAGAACTGCCTGAGCTGCTGGCTCTGCACCTCTGAGGAAAGGGTGTCCTCCTCACCCAGGATCTTCTGCATGGAGTTTTCACGCAATCCCCCACTGCTCCCAGTTTCCAGGGCGTGTCCTCTTCCTGCTTCCGGGCCAGCTGAGTCTTGCTCATCCATCTGGGCTCTCCGGAAGTCTCCAAGACATCGGAAGGAGCCCCTTGGTCCTCTGCCAAGTTCTAATGCAAGGTGCAACAAATCCTACGAATCAAACACATTCTTCTATTATAAGATCAAAGCACAGCCAAGAGAAGAAGAATGTTCCCTGAGCAAGTGTAGGGAGAGGAGGAGGAGGAAGAAGTAATAACTGTGAATGACAAGTGAGTCATTTATATGAAGTGTAATTTGGAGCCAGGGCAATAGTGGGGGTCCCTCCCAACCCCACTTCATAGTCCAGAGTTTCACCCCAACCCAGCCATATCTGCTTGGGTGGTTTGGTGAGCAGCAGGGCTCATGTCTAGCTCCAGCCACCGTCCCTTTGGCACAGACAGGATGTGGCCATGTGACTTCCTGCTCTGGATCCCATGGGAAGGTTTCAACGCCCTCTGGGTGGAACTGCCCTGGAAGACGCCTCGGAAACTGGCCCCAAATGCAGCGGTTGGGTTCTCAACTGGGTTCCCTCTTTTACTAATGGCATTTCTATCCCACCTTTTCTCCAACAGGCTCCAGGTGGTGTCAGGGACTGGACCCAAGAGGAATGCTGGAGACCCCTTTCCCTCCTCCTGAACCTTCCCGAGAAGAGGAGGACAGTATAGATTTACAACAGTGGTTTGCAGAAGGTCATAGTTCAGAGGCTGCAGAGGGGAGAAGCTGGGAAATATTGGGAGAGCAGCAGGAAGAGGCAGCAGCACCAGGGAGAGACAGCTGACAGACTCTGTGTCTTCAGAAAGCATTCCTGACCCTCCTTCTCCCAGGATCCAGCGTGCATTGAGAGTAGGAGAACAGGAAGCACAGAGGCAGAAAGCACAGATCAGCCGACGCAGGGATGACGTAGAAGAGGAGAGACAGAGGGGCGGGACTTTACTCAGAACAACGCCATTACTGCAATGGAGAGGTGCTGTTCAAAGTCTCTCTCTGTAAATATTGAATAAAGGACTGGGCAGGAACTCTTCTTGTTATTGACTTTTTGGCAGGCCATGGGGGAGGGATGGGATTCCCTGAAGCCTGACAGGAGGCATCTACATGTAGTTCCTGTTTTAAAATACCTGCCTTGGTTGCCAGTTCATTTCTGGGCCTAAGTTCATCAACAGACCAACACTTTATATTGTTTAGTTGGCAATGGAAGAGGAGAAAGGCCCATGACTCACCCTTAATCTAAGCACAACCACAAGGGCTTTGCCATGTGGAATGCTCTCTGTTCACTCTGTTCTGTTTCCCCTTTATTTTTGGTCGCGTTCAAACCAATTCATTAACCCAAAAGTCATACGCTGACCACTGACAATGAACCTGATGTCGCAAATTTATTATGCTGCTTTTGTGATATACAAATGGCATGAGGAGACTTGCTTTATTTAACTCTATCCTTTATTATTCCTATGATCCTTCTTTATAAAACCCAATGAAAAGTTATTCAAAAACAAGAGGAAACAACACACACACACACGGGCTCCATCTGTGTGGCATCTGATATGTTAGCAGGCTTTAAATTAATCACCAGAAAACGAAAAGGTTAGCAAAGAATATGAGAGGAGAAGACCAGAAGGTTTTGGTGGAGGAAACAGGGTTTCAAACCGAAAATAAAATATTTGAGTGTTACTGTGACAAATACCAATTTATGTTGTTTCAAAATAATTATGTGCTGAAATTAAAGGATATGTCAAGATGGGGGATGCAGAAATATTTACCTCTTAAAATTAAAGTATTGCAAGATGCCAAGGAAAGCGAAGTAGGAAGTAATCCTCCTTTCTGTTTGTGCGCTTATTTAGATTCCTTGATTTTATCTTTGATAAAAAGATAGGGGGTATTGGATGCCCACTTTCGTCCATCTCCTTTCAAACATGAACGACATCTATTGAAAGAATGAAAAATAAGGGGAAATAAAAGAAAGAGAGCCCCCCCCCCGGCCAAGCCAGACTCCAAAGAGTCTTGGGAACCGTAGTTTGCGAAGGAGACACCGTCCAGCTGCCCCCTCGAGCCTGAAAACTCCCGGGAAGCTTGGGAAAGAGACCATTCCTGTCCGGGGCTCGGGGGGCGGGGCGGGGGGCGGGTCCGCTGGCAGGCTCCGCCCTCTGTCGCCCCTCCCCCTCCCGGGCCAAGGAGAAGCCAGGCCGAGCCTGGTCCTGGGCAGGAGGAAGAGGAAAGCCAAGGAGCTGAGAACCGCCCAGGCTCGAGAGCCATGATGTTACCTCAGCGTCGCGGGGCAGGGAGTTCCGCAGGCTTCGCCCGAGAGGAGACCCACCAGAGCCCGGCCGGCGAAGGCGAGGCCGGAAGGGACGTCAGGGGGCGAGGAGGGGGAGGAGGGGGAGCGGCCCGCCTTCCTTTCCTGTCCTCTCTAGGAAGCCAGCTCGGCGCCCCTTCACCCTTCTCTCTCCCGTCAGGGCGTCGCGCAGGCGCAGAGCTGCTCCATCCGGGGCCTGGCGAGCTGCTCCCTCGGAGGGGAAGAGGCCGCCCTTGGCCCGCCATGGGGGAGAGGAGGGGCGCCTGGCCGGGAAGAAGAAGCCGGGCTGGGCAAGGGGGAAGGGGAAGGCGGGTCCCGGAGGAGGAGGAGCCCCTCTCTCTGCCCGGGGGGAGAACCAGGTCTCTGGCCCCTGGAGAAAAAAGGGGGGTGGAAATAAATAAGAGTCCGCTGTAGATCAAGCAGCAGGAAAGGACCACACAAAAAGCAAGGACCTTAGTCCACAGATTAAGTTTTATTCAAAGCCAGAAGAGAAAAAGCAGCCCTAAGTGCAGTGTCTCAAGGATGCAGCGTAACATCTTTACCTTAGAAAAAGGAATTAAACGTAACAGTCGGCAAAGAGGCAGTTAAATGGAATTTTTCAGTGGCAAGGGGGACAAGGAAGCCCATCACAGCAGGCCTGTCTTGTTAAAAATCAGGAGAAGAGATTTCTGTACATCTCAAGAGCAACAAGAATGTGTTCCTTCCCACCCTTTGCTTGAGAAGTAAAACTCTGCAAGTGTTTGGCTCCAGGGTCCCTTGAGAGAGAGTTGGTTCCGACTCTGAGCAAAGAGGAAGGAAAAGGGGGTCCTGCAAGGAGAGGATGAGGGGAAGACCCCCTTTTCTAGGGGTGGGGGAGAGGGATTGGGCTCCCAGGTCAAGAGAGCACCTTGTATCCTGGCACTGAAAAGACACCCTCCCGACACACACTTTGTGGCATCTCCTTTCGGCAAAGGGTCAAAACATAGTTCCAACTTGAAAACCACCTCCAGGACCAGGCACCCTCAATGGGCTTTGCACTACAACTCCCAACCGGGCCTGCCAGCAGAAGGCAGGGGGGATGGAAACAGCCGTCCAAAAGGTCCGGCCAGCTCCAGAGGCGACCCAAGGCTGCTCTCCAACGGGGCGCTGCTCCAGGCATCTGAGTTGCCCAGTTCAAGGGAGCTGGCGGGACTAAGAACTGGGGTTCCTGAATTGCAGGGGTTGGACTAGATGAGCCTGGAGTGTCCTCTTCCAGGATTCCTCATCTGGCTGCCAATGCCACGGCTGGAATGTCTCCCAAAACTGCCCCCCCTTTCACAAGGAGCTCTTCCTCCCCCCCTGTGTCTTAAACTACCCTTTGACTGGCAACCATCTTCAATCTCCTTGCTGGACAATCCCAATCAAAGATGCATTAGATTCTCTGAAATCTACTCAGGAGTCCTGTAGTGATTTCATGCTCTTTATTGCAGCTTGTAAAAGAGTGATTTAATTGCACCCCAAACCTCAGGCTTTCATATACATTATTTACACAATCAGTCCCGTCTGACTGGCTGATTCTGCTTCCCTCCTGGAGCCTGATTGGTCTTTTCCTGCAGGCCAATCAGTTGTTGCATTCTAGGATCCTACTTGCCTTTTGTTCTAGGATCCAAGCTTAGTACATAACCCCCCTCCCCTCGAAGTTCCCGTTGCGCCCAGAAGGTTAGCATTCCTAGTCGTTGAAGTATGCCGGTCACCTATGTATGCCTTGTGGTCTTGGGTGTCTCTCAGTAGGGGTTCCTGGTTCTGGCTCTTGTTCCAGGGCTGCCGGCTGTGACAGGGCCGTTGGGTTGGATGCTGCTGGTCCACTCGGTTGTGGTTTTGGTTCCTGTGGATGCTCGGCCTCGGTCACTTCTCGACTTCCTAGTTCTGCCGCCCTTACCTGCTCCTCCTGCTCTATGGGCCTCACCCTTCTGCTATCCCCTTGGGATTCCTCTGTCCAGCCCTCCTTGCAGTTCCCCCCCAGGAACCATCGCAGCAGTTGATCGCAGTGGCGGCGCCAAGCTTTCCCCCCTTCGTTAGCATGACACGGGGCCAGTCGCCCTGGTGACTGTGGCGGGTACCCATGCCAGGCCCTCCCCGAAGTTCTTTGCGTACACTGGGTCGCGGGGCTGGAAGGTGCGGGGGTTCCTACCTTCCCCCACTGCTGCCTCGTCATGGGCCCTGTTGGGGTGAAGGCGGTCTGGTCTTGTTGTGAGGCGCCAGCCCATGAGTAGTTCCACTGGGCTCCAGCCATCATTGTGCTGGGGGTGCTATGCTGGGCTAGGACAAATGCAGCTAGGCGATACTCCCAGTCCCCTTGTGTCATGCGGCGGAGGGTGTCCTGGGTGGTCCACACCATGCGCTCTGCTTGGCCATCGGTGGCGGGTTGGAACAGCACTGATTGTGCATGGCGGATGGCATTTTCTGTTGCGAAGGTCTGGAACTCCTGTGACGTGAATGCTGTTCCGTTGTCGGAGACGAGTGTGTCAGGGAGTCTGTGGGTTGTGAACAGCCTATATAGTACTTGGATGACCGCAGCCGTGGAAGTGGACGGTACCTGGACGACCTCCAGCCATTTGGAGTATGAGTCCCCCACTACGAAGAATGTCCTTCCCTGGAAGGGGCCAGCGAAGTCCACATGCAGGTGGGACCACAGTGCTCGGGTGGACTCCCAGGGTTGGATGGGGGCCCTTGGGAGATCTGGGCAGGACTCCTTTCAGGTCTGGCAGTATTTAACCCAGGCCTC